CTGCTGTTTCCTGTGTTGTTAATTTTAGCCATTCTGACAGGTGTGAAGTGGTATCTCAGTGTGGTTTTGATTTGTATTTCCCTGATGATGAGTGATATTGAGCATCTTTTCATGTGTCTCTTAGTCATCTGGTTGTCTTTCTTGGAAAAATGTCTATTCATGTCTTCTGTCCATTTCTTAACTGGAATACCTATTGTTTGGATGTTGAATTTGAAACATTCTATATAGATTTTGGATACTAACCCTTTATCAGATATGTCTTTTGCAAATATCTTCTCCCATTCCATAGGCTGCCTTTTAGTTTTTTTGATTGTTTCTTTCATTGTGCAGAAGCTTTTTATCTTGATGAAGTCCCAATAATTCATTTTTGCTTTTGTTTCCCTTGCCTCCAGTGATGTGTCTAGTAAGAAGTTGCTACAGCCGAGGTTAAAGAGGTTGCTGTGTTCTCCTTTAGGATTTCAATGGTTTCCTGTCTCACATTTAGGTCTTTCATCCATTCTGAATTTATTTTGTGTATGGTGTAAGAAAGTGGTCCAGGTTCATTGTTCTGCATGTTGCTGCTAGTTTTCCCAACACCATTTGTTAAAGAGACTGTCTTTTTTCCATCAAATATTCTTTTTTTAAGTTTCTTTATTTTGAGAGAGAGATAGAGGCAGAGAGAGAATCTCAAGCAGGCTCCAGTTCAATGTGGGATTTGAACTAACTGTGAAATCATTACTGAGCCAAAGTCAAGAGTCGAATGGAGAGACTGAGACACCCAGGCTCCCCTTCCATCAGATGTTCTTTCCTGCTTTGTCAAATATTAGTTGACCATATAGTTGTGGTCCATTTCTGAGTTTTCCATTCTGTTCCATTGATCTATGTGTATGTTTTTTCCCATTCTTTGTGTCTTCTTCAAATTCTTTCGTAAGTGTTCTGTAGTTTTCAGAGTACAGATCTTATACCACTTTGGTTAGACTTATTCCTAAGTATCTTATTGTTTTTGGTGCAATTGTAAATGGGATTGATACCTTGATTTCTTTTTCTGCTGTTTCATTATTTGTTTATAAAAACGCAACAGATTTGTGTACATTGATTTTTATATCCTGTGACTTTTTTGAACTCATATATTAGTTCTATCAATTTTTGGTGGAGTCTTTTGGGTTTTCTACAGAGAGTATTATGTCATCTGCAAATAGTGAAAGCTTGACTTCTTCTTGGCTGATTTGGATACCTTTTATTTCTTTTTGCTATCTGATTGCTGAGGCTAAGACCTCCAGTACTATGTTAAATAGTAATGGTGAGAGTGGATATCCCTGTAATGTTCCTGACCATAGAGGAAAAGCTCTCAGTTTTTCCGCATTGAGGATGATATTAGCTGTGGGTCTATTGTATATGGTTTTTATTATGTTGAGGTATGTTCCATCAACATCTTTGTTGAGGGTTTTTATCAAGAATCAATTCTGTACTTTGTCAAATGCTTCTTCTGCATCTATTGAGAGGATCATATTGTTCTTACCCTTTCTTTTATTAATGTGGTATATCATGTTGATTGATTTGCAAATGTTGAACCAGCCCTGTAGCCCAGGAATAAATCCCACTTGATCATGGTGAATAATTCATTTAATGTACTGTTAGATTCGATTTGCTAGTATCTTGTTGAGAATTTTTGCATTCATGTTCATGAAGGATATTGGCCTGTAAAAAAATAAAGAGCACAAAATAAGATAGTAGAAATAAGTACAAATATACCACCAATCATAATAAATATGAATGAATTGTACTTACCAGTTAAAAGACAACACTGTCGGATTGTATAACATCTAGCCAGATATACACCATTTTAAGAGACATACTTAAAGTCCAAACGCATTGTGAGGTATTTTCAGAACAACATTAAACAAGAGCACTTGCTCTTCCTGGCCTTCTCAGATTGTTGAGAGTCAGCATATATATTGTTTTCCCACAAAACATGTAGGCTTTGAGTTGAGAGAGAGATAATATATAATGATAAGGAAGTATCCATTGCCCCTATTTTATTGGAGTTATTTTTTGAATCAAGAATAGATGTTGAATTTTATCAAATTACCTTTTCAGTGTCTATGGAGATGATCATAGACTATTCATTTTGATCCATTGTATATTAAATTATATTAATAAGTGTCTTTATATTAAACCCTTCTTGCATTAGTGGAATAAATTTCATTTGTTCATGCTGTGAACCAGTATGCAGCAGCCAAAATTTTTCTGGTATTTTAATTAGTAGTTTTGCATTGATATTCACAAATAAAGCTGATCTATAGCTTGCTTTTTTTGTCCATATTTTTCAGATTTGTGTGTTACAATTATTGGCTCCCTACGAACTCTTTAGAAGTGTCCCCCTTTTATTATAGAAGGGACAAGCGCAAAATAATATAAAGGAAACCAGGACCACATGACAAAATATTAAAAGACAAAAGCAATGAAAACAGTGTGAACAACAGGAAATATACTGGGA